ATGCCTTTCCTGGCCACCGACAAGGCTCTCATAGATGTGCATGATGGGACCTTAGTTTTGAGGGATGGCGAGGAGCGAATAACATTTTCAATTGCTAATACTCTCCCTGCTTCGTCACCTCTGCATGTTGTTTCTCACCAGGAGCACGAGTCTGTCGTGTATCCTTCTGTGCCTCCCATTTTGCAGGATCCCCCTCTCATACCTTCGCCGCCACTCCCGTCCACTCCGTCACCAAAAGAACAGATCAAGGAGGAGTGGCGGCCGAAACTGCAGGCAGCTAAGCCTGCTCGAAAGAAAGTCGGCGACCACTATGAGCTGGTCCCGCCCCCACCTTGGTCATCCGAGTATTCACTCGCTTGCATCTTGCTGGATGGCCAAGTCGAGTTGGCGAGTGCTGGTAGTCACACCCGTCATGTGCATGGCCACCATCTGAAGCTGTACCTCAAGAGCGATGTGGATCCGCTCTTGAAGGCACCCGCTCCTACACCTCTCTAAGCATCCACCTGCTGGCGTCCAGCTAAAAGACGGTAAAGAAGCGCTTGTGGGGAGGCAACCCCACCTAGGTTTGCATTTTCTTACCTTTTTCCTTTTTATTTTTTTGTGCTTTTGAGTCTCGAGGTGTTGTTCACGAGTCGTATGTCGTTTTTGAGTGAAAATAGGTCAAATTCGGAGTTCTGGCAGTCCACACGGCCAGCCCTAAAAGTCACACGGCCGTGTGGATTTGGCCCCCTGCCCATGTGAGCTCTCGACAATTTTCACACGAGCAAGAGAGGTCCCTCACACGGCCGTGTAGATTTGGCCCCCAGCCCGTGTGAGCTCTCGACAATTTCCACACGGCCATTTGTGCTTTTCACACGACCGTGTGGAAATCCTCGGCCTGCCCGTGTCGGCCCACACGGGCAACTGTGCACCTCACACGGCCGTGTGAGCTTGCCCGTGTGGTCGAGCCAGCCTCTATAAATTTGGCCGACACGGCCGCGTGGTCAGAAAATTCAACTTCTCTCGCCGGAATCCTCTCCCCCTCGCCGAAAACGGCGAACTTTCGCCCTCTTTGTCGATTTTCGGCCATTTTTGGTCGGTTTTCACCAAACCACCTTCACACCCATCCTTTTCTCCCCATTTTCGGCCTATCCCTCGACTTTGAGGCGATTTGAGCCGATTTTGAGTCGCCGGAGGCGATTTCCGGCGAGGCTCCGACGAGCACTTCCGGGCAGATTTTGGCCTCTTCTTCGCTTCCATTGCATTCCCCTCATCATCCCCTACACCTCTACTTGTGTCTCCAGGTTTGATTTTGACCTTAACCTTGTGATTTATGGAGAATTGGGTGTTAGGGTGTATGTTTAGAGAACAACTTTGAACCATGAGATTTGTGTGCAATTGATTGAGGGGAAAGCTTGGTTTGTGTGTGAATGTGGTTGGGCAATGTCCCTCCTTCTTGATTGAGCCCTTGTGTGCTATGAAATTGTCAATTTCATGCTTAACTTAATAGTGCACACAAGGTGTTCGATAAAATGCCAGTTTTTCATACCATGTTGTGAGCCCCGGTTGGGGCCCTTAATGATGTCCTTTGAGGGTGTGTTTGCTATGGATGTGAACCTTGAGTTGCCTAATTTTTCATGGATGTGCACCCCCACCCCGATTATGCTTGTTTGATCGAGTTTTTGACCCCCGAACTATGGATGAAACCATGGTTCGGCTGTTTTCTGTTCTTAAGTGAGGGGGTGTGATTAACCTTTTCCTTGGCTCTTTTGGTTCCACTTTGGGTTGTTCTTTTACAGGACCATGACGAAGCCCGACCTCAAACACCCATTTATTCGAGATTTGAAGAGGGGCCCCCACCAGGATCGTTTTAAGAGTGTCCTGGCCTGCAAGTTTATGCAGCATCATTGCTGGTCCAAGCGGGAGTTTGAGAAGCTGAACTGCTACGAGCACTTCTCCGCCATTGTCACCAACCGCCCCTGGCGCCGTCTACTCTGCATTCGCAAGAAGGTTTACCACGAGCTCGTGTTTGAGTTCTACACGACCTTCACGCACGCAGACACGGAGGATTGGAAGGACGGAGAAGCCGTCAAGTTCAGGCTCGATGGTGCACCCCGATCCATGAGCTACCACGACCTGGCGACCTCCCTCGGCCTGGCTGATGACAGGGAATACATCACCGAGCTCACCGAGCCAGAGGGGGTGGACTTCAGGACACTATATACCCGCCTCGCTCGGCCAGGCCAGCGTCCCTTCCAGGCGGGGAAGACGAAGGCCAACACCTTGCAGCTCAACAACCGCATTCTCCACCACTTGCTGGCAAAGTCCTACACTCCAGCCTCGGACAGTGCCAGCACCATCACCCGGAGAGCCATGTACTTCATCTAGTCCATGCGCCAGGGGGATCATCTTCTCTACTTGGGTTCTGTAGTGGCAAGAACCTTTCGACAAGAGTGCTTCAGAGCTGAAGAAACTCCACTGCACTACCCTCATCACCCGCCTGGTCACCTACTTCCAGATATCACTGCAGGGGTGCACAGAGCATTGGGACACCAGTGTCTTCGGCGCATATATGATAGGTCGCATGCACCCTCTTCGAGAAGAGCGAGGAGTTAAGTGGATCGAGGGGTTTCCTCAACCTCAGATCCTAGCGGAGGACCAGCCGGAGGTTCCTGAGGGTGCGGCTGATGAGGATGTCCACCCCGAGGATGTGGATGATACTGCTGCCACCCGCCCCACCACCTTCAAGTACGGGGGTGGCAAGTCCACTTTCCCCGACCAGGACTACTTCACTCTGCAGTTCGAGCAGCTGCGTCTCCAGAATCAGCAGCTCTACGACCATCAGCTCCAGTTCCAGCAGCAGTATTCGGCTCACCATGCCGAGTACCAGACCTGGATGGCCGCTTATGATGAGCGTCTTGATCGGATGGAGACCCAGCAGGGGGTGACCCTGGCTCACATCGAGAGGGAGCAGGCCTGATCTCGGCGCATGCAGGAGGTCCAGCAGCACCTGCTCCAGCTGCTACCGGGTGAGCAGCCAGTCTGGAGGACTCCCTGGGAGGACTCTCCACTTCCACCTCCACCAGCTGATGATGATGATGCATTCATGAATGACATCGATCTGGACAACCTTGGCGACGAGTAGGCTGTACTTGTCGCCCCTCAGTGTGTGTTTTTGTTTTAGACTTTTTATGGTTGCTCCATGTGTTTGAGGAGCTTGAACTGAGTCTGTCGTTTGTTTTTGTCCTTTTTGTTTTCCTTTGTGGATTGTTTATTTTGTGGCCATCTGAGACAACTCCGATCCCTAACGCACGGTGTGCTAGTGTGTTCTTGATGTTCCCTTAGTGCAGAACTTACCGTTCGTTCCATATGTTCCCCACTGACTGGTCCGCTTCCAGTCTTCCGCAGTATTTCAATACGGTAACATCGTTCCCCTTATATCTCCCTATGCTCCATTGAGGGCAATGTCGTGCTTAAGTGTGGGGGTGCTTTGTATCGGTTGGAAGCTATATACGTGTGCTTGGAGCCTAGTCTGTTGTCCAAATCTCGAGATTTGAGGGCTCCAAGTATGGCTGTTTGATCATATTGGCACTGTGTTTTGATTGGTGAATTGAATGGTTTTTGGATTAATGCATGACAACTGAATGGTGACTAAGACAACCTATAATGATGACTGAGATGTGCCGTAGGATTGTGTAGGGGTTCAGTTTTTCAACTGTTTGCTTACCAACTGTGACTTGGATGGATCACTTTTTCTTGACAATCGTTTATGCATCTAGTTCAAGGAATCAGAATTGGAGATAGAGCATATAGGTAGCCATGTGAGATTTGAGCCTGCTCGTTTCTTTCTTGTGCGATAGTTACCTCTTCCATGATGTGTAGCATTCACGTTGTCATTAGATAAGATGATGAAGGCATAGGATTAGCCCACGACCAAATTGAACTGTCCTGGTGTGTCATACCCCCTAGTCAGCCTCTTTGAGCCGTGTGTTATTCTTTCTTTCGGTCTAAGTGAAAAATCACCCTTTTGCATCTCTTAGAAGGTTCCACAGAGTGGTTTTTGCATGTTCTCTGTTGTTTCTGCTAAATATAATTTGTGAGAGTTGGAGGTTGATAGACCCTCTTCTTTTTCATTCAACTACCCATAAACATGAGTCACTTACTCTCCCATTTTCACCAACCCACGTGGAAGATAAGCTAGGTGGCATTTCATCCATTTTCCACTTTTCATTTCATGGAGATAGTAACTCCTTAAAATCACCACCTCATGCTCCATTTTGACACATGGACATGGTTAGGTTGATGGGGAATTATACCACCTCATGCTCCATTTTGACACATGTACATGGTTAGGTTGATGGGGAATTATACCACCCCTCATTTTACCCCACACAATCACATACAGCATGAATAAAAAGGGGTCAAGTAAATCCCTTCATTCCACGTGGCTTGTAGTTGGCAAGGCCAAGGGTTTTCTTTATGTCTTTCACTTCCCTCTACCAATCAGAACTTCCATATTCTTTCCATTAAGAAGACATGTCCCACTGAAACACACACATGTAAATCCACCCAATTCTTCCCCTAAACACATGGACATGACTACTCTCCTCTCCCACCAACAAAGTCTCCACAATTCCCTACGTGGCTACATGAAAATGATGGTGGTGGCCAAGTTACCATTTCTCTCCATGTTTATGTAAAGGTGCTCTAACAATTACCACCCACCTATCCATATGCATGAGCTGAATTGGATCCAAAAAAACCTTTAACTCTTGTACCACTTACACGTGGAGAAAGGTGAGAAGGTATGCAATTTTATTTCCTTTGTACATGTGGGGTTTATTGTGCCAGTAAAGATAATAATGGTACATGGGTGATTATTCACGCCCAACCAAGGTAAGTTTCTCAAACTTAAGTTGTTAAATTGTTGTTTTATGTTCTAAATCACTACGGATAAAGGATACGCCAACCCCGCCAGGAGCAGGACGCGCCTATAAATAGGTCGTTCATTTCTGCTTCCTTGGGAATCCATCTCAAACCTAGAGAACTCACTTTCTCTGAACGAGATCGGAAAAGGGGAATTCCCGACGAACTTCTTCTCGGCAAATTAGCAACTTCCAACCCCGAAATTTCTTTTTCTTTCTCCCTATAGTCGGCTCAATATGTCGCTCCCGGTTATTTCCAAATACTGATTTGAGATTTGGAGAAGGTCCCAGCCGACCACAACCGGCGGGTCCTTTTTTGCAGGTGTTCATCTCGAGAGCTGGAATTCAACGGCAACCAAAAGGTCAATGCTCTCTGGACTCTACAACGTTCGAGGTCGGCTATTTTAGCTTGGCATCAACAATTGGCGCCCACCGTGGGGCTCGGTGAGATTACTACCTACAGATTGCCAATTCAACCAGTCGAGATGGATACAACAAATTCACAACTTCAAGTTGACATCGGTCAAGGTTCAAGTCCAAACCCTGAGCAAACTCTGCCACCCCAAAGGGTTGAAGATTTGCAGGCTGAAATTGAGCGACTTCGTGCTCAGATTCGGACTGCAACGGAGGCTCCACAACCACCACCGGTCCCTCTACCAACTTTCTATGGGAGTACGGGACTCCCTGGATCCTCCAATGACTATCGGAATGGCATGCCGGCAGTAACTGAAGCAGCGGCCCGAGATGTCCCCCTAGTTGTTCCTCACTTCGAAGAACTCCCTCCAGCGGGAACATTTTCTCAACCAAGTACCGGTCGGCCCCTTGCTTTGGCCATTCTAAATGAGTCATACCCGGGAAACATCCATATACCCAACCTTCCGGAGTACAATGGCACCACTGACCCAGAAGATCATCTTAGTTCCTTTGAGATTTTGATGCCTCTTATTGGTGCCTCTGATGCCACCATGTGTAAAATATTTCCCGCCACTCTTGGAGGAGAGGCTCGTCGATGGTACTCTCAGCTTCGCAATGGTGTCATCAACAACTTCACCGAATTTTTCACACTATTTCGGTGCAAGTTTTATGCCCAAAAGCGACAAGCAGTGAGCATTAATCAGATCATGAATACCAAGCAACGAGAGGGTAAGGCTTTAAAAGCCTATTATGCTAGGTACAATACCTTGGCTATAGGCGTCACTTCCCTATCTGTTGAAGTAATTGTCAACACGCTGACACGAGGAACAACAAACAGTCTTCTCCGGGCTTCCCTCATCAAGAAACCCCCTCGGAGTATGTTTGAGCTACAGGAGCGGGTAATGAAGTACATCGGTCTAGAAGAAGCTTTACAAGATTCCTCTTACGTTGTGCCAAAGCGTAGGAGGGATTCGCCTCCGCCAAACCGAGAAACTTTACAACGCCCCCGCCCAACTTTGGATAACATGCCCAAGGCTCAAAAAGATGATCGTAGAAGGGATGGGCCATTCCCTCCAGGCCAAAATTTTACCCCACTCAACAATCCACTGAGGAATGTTCTCCAGGTCATTCAATATAAAAAGCTTCCGGTGACATGGCCACCTCGAGGTCGCATAAAACCAATAAAAGGAAAGAACCAATTTTGTGACTTTCATCGGGGATACGGGCATGACACCGAGGAATGCAAAAAATTGGGAAGATCCATCGAGGGACTGATTCAAAATGGCAACTTAAGCAGTTCATTCAAAGTTCCAAAGGCTCAATCCAACAACCTTATTCATCGGACAAAGGATAAGCTCCGCAAGGAAGCGGACCTGTGTTAGTAGTCGTCCCAGTCATACATGGAGGAACTGGACTACGACAGGAATTGTCCACCTCTCGTATGACGTATGCTCGAACTTTGGTTGGCTCCACCTCCACTATCTCAGATCAATATCCTATCATTTTTTATTCCCGAGATCTCGAGGATATCGAATATCCCCATGATGATCCTCTGGTGATTGAGGCTACCATCGCCAACTACACAGTAAAACGAGTTCTCATTGACGGAGGGAGCTCAGCCGACCTACTTTTTTACCCCGCTTTCTGCTCATTGGGTTTTCGCTTGGATCGGTGTCAACCTTCCAGTGTCTTTCTTTTAGGCTTCTCTGGCAACCAAGTCCCGGTACTTGGAATTTTACCCCTTCATGTTCGCATCGGCAATGGCGACCAAGCAATCGAGACATTGGTTAACTTTCATGTGGTGGAATGTTCCTCTGCATACAATGGAATTCTTGGAAGACACTTTCTACATCAAGCTCACGCCATCCCTTCTACGCTTCATCTCAAATTGAAGTTACCTACTCCGTCCGGGGTAGGGTGTGTCCGAGGGGATCAAGCAATCGCCAAGCAATGTTGTGCATTTTCCCTTAAACATAAACATGTCACTACTGTTGACACTCGAGAAGAGGTAGCTCGCCCTGTGCCAGTCGACCTTGATGAGGAACAAGTTGTTCAAGATGGCCTTACCATTCGTGTCTCAACTGCTTGGCCTAAAGAAGCTCTTCCTCAGCTTCTCAAATTAGTCCGAGAATTTAAAGAGCTACTCGCCCAAGGTCCTGAAGACATGCCTGGACTTGATCGTCGGGTAGCTGAGCATGCCCTAGGGATTCTCCCAGGGTGTCTTCCTGTACAACAAAAGAGAAGTGTAACATCCCATTTCGGCTAAACCCATATTTCGATCGCTAGAAAGTTCGCGATTTAAAATCGAGCATTTCGACACTATTTCGGCGAAAATCGGATTATCGATCGATCGGATAAGTATACGTATTAATTATATTAAAATATAAAATTATATATATATATATATATATATATATATATCATAGAGTGTCCATTTAATTCCCACGCGTCCCATTTTCTTTCCATCATCATCATTTCATTCTTTCATTTCCGGCCGAGAGAACCGAGAAGCACGGGCGCAGGGGAGAGTGAGCAGAAAATTCCCCAGCTCGATTCTTAAGCTACAGTGATCCAAAAATCCCGTAAGTAATGCCTAATTCATCCATACATCGTGATTTATCGATTTAGAGCTTTAAAACGAGTTTTTGGTTCAGGAATTTCTTGAATTCCCGATAAGCCAAATTAGGGTTTCGGAGTATCCGGAAGCCGGATTGAGCCCAAATTTCATATACGAGCTTCCTGCAGCGAGGTAATCAATCCTCTAGTTCTAATCCCTGAATTTTGGCAATTATTTAGGCCGGGGTCCGAACCGCTGAATTTAGCTCCGGCCAGGGTTTGATGTGTTTTTATCGAGAATTTGACCCGGATCCCAGAACTAATATTGACGGGGATACTGCAGGGGATATTAGGACGGTCTCGGATTTTAATTCGGAGTTCGTTCGTGAAATTGACGTTTTAGTACTGGAAGGTTAAACCGGTGTTTGAACGACCAGAACTGGTGAGGGATTAGCACGACATACCGGGTTTGTCGTATCATGATAATTATATTGATGCTTAGAATTGATCTAGGTGAACTAGAATGGCATGATTAGGGGTGTATGGACTTTTGTGCTATATGTTGAACCCTGGATTGCTGTATGATATTATTGACTTGCCCTAATCGATATGAACCTTGTTTATCCTGATGATTATGTATATGTTACAAATTGTGGGCTTGACTATTAATATGCTTTACGATGGTTCGAGAAGGTGATTAGGTATGATTTTTCATGATTGTTGTATTTGGATGCACAAGTGGGAAAATATATATTCTCTGGTGATATTATGATGTTTAAGGAGGATGACGGGCACGAGGGTTTATCCCGAGGAAGTGCAATTATACGACTCCTGATTTACCTATGTTGTGCCAATTATGGCCAGGTCAAGTACATGTGCAAGTAACGAATTATGATTAAGCAAGATGAGATATGAATCATGTATAAGGATACCAAATATGAGTGTTGTGGTCTCACGGTCAACTACATAGTAATTAGGGCTCCCTATGCTATTACTCTATTATGATATGTATGATAGTCACACCTCTCATGTGGTGGTGACTGAAGAATTCTTACGAGATATGACCACACCCAGAGCGGTGTCGGGGTATGACTACACCCATAGTGGTGTGGGGTATGTATGACCACATCCGACGGGATGTTGGGGTATGTATGACTACATCCGACGGGATGTGGGGTATGTTTCCCGGGAGAGTTATTAGCATGGGAGTAGCCAGGCGCCTATAAGTAAAACATGATAAGATTCATATGCATAAGTCAAGGTGGTTGAGTCTTTTGCCTATTGGGATATGAGGAGGGCTGAGGTCCGATCCTAGTGCTTTGGCTTGTTTGCTAGATGTATGGTAGTGGTATGCTATGTTATGAACTCACGATGCTATGATTATCTCACTCAGCTATGAGCTGACCCTCTTTTATTCTTCTTCTCTGCTTATGCTATGTGTAAGTAGATCATCAGCAACAGCAGTAGATAGGTGTATAGGTGGGAGCTGAGCAAGAGTTGAAGGCAAGATGAGGTATGGTCTTCAACCATTCTGTGCTTGGACTACTACTCGGGATTTTGGCCAGTGATCCACACCTTTTTGTAAAAATGTTTTGAGAACGTTTTTCATGTGCATACTAGCTTCTGATGTAGTGTGAGATATCCACAGGTGTGGAAAGTTGATGATATGTGTATATTTTTGTAATTATGTAAGTTGTGACGATTGTGGCTTGTATCAGTATAGTATGCAGTTGTATAGTATGAAAGTGTGACTATGGCTAAGAAAAGCCAATGCATATGGTTGTGAGTATATATGTTTGTGATGAATTATTTTGCAGGTTAAGTTGCAAGAACTGTTAGCCCATTACGCGAGTAATTCATGTCGAAATTTTATTTAGGTAAATTTTGATAATTAATGTAACACCCGAGATTATTTCCGCTGCAATTGTATGAACAATATGATTAGGCAAAACGTATAGGGTAGGGTGTTACAGTTTGGTATCAGAGCTAGTTTGTTTTCTGCATTATGGGTATGTTACTTTCACTCTTGAGGACTGATCACTCTCAAAAGGGGAGAGAGTACTCCATACCTGTACTTGCACTAAACTTTTCAGGATTGGGACCAAAGGTGATGATGTGTTGCATAGTCAGTTGCATATGGTCAAACATTATTTTGAGTATTTGAGGGAATCTTGAAAATTTTATGGTTTAAGAGATTTATGAAAATATGTGGAAGTTTTATCTTGTTGTCCAAGTAATGATTTTGAAGAAAGTTTTGTTTCAACCAAGTGAATAACTTGGTTAGACACAAGTGGTGTGTGGATCAAAAGAAGGCCAATGTTTCCTTGTAGTTTGCACAGAAGTACGTTTAGTGTTACTACTAACCGATCGAGAAGCATGGTGGCTAGCTATGCAATACAGTTGATCTTCGACTATGCTAACATGACGAGTTGTTGTGGTGTAGTTTTAATATGGATATGATTCTTGATGTTGTGGTGGCTAGGTTAACAATCTTGCTTAGTAAGTTATGTTTTGAACTTATTGATGTGCTTTTGTTGTGATAACCCGATATAGGTTTTTGAAACCTTATATTGGGAACTTGAGATGTTATCTGTTTAGTTATGTACTTCAGATCTCCTAACCTATGAGTTAGGTAGTAACAAGATATGTGATAGTATCTTTCAGGAGGAGAACGAGTAGATGCGAGAATTGACTGAAGGTTAGATTTCGGGGACGAAATCTTTTAAGGAGGGGAGAATTGTAACATCCCATTTCGGCTAAACCCATATTTCGATCGCTAGAAAGTTCGCGATTTAAAATCGAGCATTTCGACACTATTTCGGCGAAAATCGGATTATCGATCGATCGGATAAGTATACGTATTAATTATATTAAAATATAAAATTATATATATATATATATCATAAAGTGTCCATTTAATTCCCACGCGTCCCATTTTCTTTCCATCATCATCATTTCATTCTTTCATTTCCGGCCGAGAGAACCGAGAAGCACGGGCGCAGGGGAGAGTGAGCAGAAAATTCCCCAGCTCGATTCTTAAGCTACAGTGATCCAAAAATCCCGTAAGTAATGCCTAATTCATCCATACATCGTGATTTATCGATTTAGAGCTTTAAAACGAGTTTTTGGTTCAGGAATTTCTTGAATTCCCGATAAGCCAAATTAGGGTTTCGGAGTATCCGGAAGCCGGATTGAGCCCAAATTTCATATACGAGCTTCCTGCAGCGAGGTAATCAATCCTCTAGTTCTAATCCCTGAATTTTGGCAATTATTTAGGCCGGGGTCCGAACCGCTGAATTTAGCTCCGGCCAGGGTTTGATGTGTTTTTATCGAGAATTTGACCCGGATCCCAGAACTAATATTGACGGGGATACTGCAGGGGATATTAGGACGGTCTCGGATTTTAATTCGGAGTTCGTTCGTGAAATTGACGTTTTAGTACTGGAAGGTTAAACCGGTGTTTGAACGACCAGAACTGGTGAGGGATTAGCACGACATACCGGGTTTGTCGTATCATGATAATTATATTGATGCTTAGAATTGATCTAGGTGAACTAGAATGGCATGATTAGGGGTGTATGGACTTTTGTGCTATATGTTGAACCCTGGATTGCTGTATGATATTATTGACTTGCCCTAATCGATATGAACCTTGTTTATCCTGATGATTATGTATATGTTACAAATTGTGGGCTTGACTATTAATATGCTTTACGATGGTTCGAGAAGGTGATTAGGTATGATTTTTCATGATTGTTGTATTTGGATGCACAAGTGGGAAAATATATATTCTCTGGTGATATTATGATGTTTAAGGAGGATGACGGGCACGAGGGTTTATCCCGAGGAAGTGCAATTATACGACTCCTGATTTACCTATGTTGTGCCAATTATGGCCAGGTCAAGTACATGTGCAAGTAACGAATTATGATTAAGCAAGATGAGATATGAATCATGTATAAGGATACCAAATATGAGTGTTGTGGTCTCACGGTCAACTACATAGTAATTAGGGCTCCCTATGCTATTACTCTATTATGATATGTATGATAGTCACACCTCTCATGTGGTGGTGACTGAAGAATTCTTACGAGATATGACCACACCCAGAGCGGTGTCGGGGTATGACTACACCCATAGTGGTGTGGGGTATGTATGACCACATCCGACGGGATGTTGGGGTATGTATGACTACATCCGACGGGATGTGGGGTATGTTTCCCGGGAGAGTTATTAGCATGGGAGTAGCCAGGCGCCTATAAGTAAAACATGATAAGATGCATATGCATAAGTCAAGGTGGTTGAGTCTTTTGCCTATTGGGATATGAGGAGGGCTGAGGTCCGATCCTAGTGCTTTGGCTTGTTTGCTAGATGTATGGTAGTGGTATGCTATGTTATGAACTCACGATGCTATGATTATCTCACTCAGCTATGAGCTGACCCTCTTTTATTCTTCTTCTCTGCTTATGCTATGTGTAAGTAGATAATCAGCAACAGCAGTAGATAGGTGTATAGGTGGGAGCTGAGCAAGAGTTGAAGGCAAGATGAGGTATGGTCTTCAACCATTCTGTGCTTGGACTACTACTCGGGATTTTGGCCAGTGATCCACACCTTTTTGTAAAAATGTTTTGAGAACGTTTTTCATGTGCATACTAGCTTCTGATGTAGTGTGAGATATCCACAGGTGTGGAAAGTTGATGATATGTGTAT